CACTGAAGAAACCGACGCTTGAATACGATGTGCTTTACCCTTTTCAGCCAGAAAATACCTATTTTGTGAATTATCCGCCGGAGAAACCTGATCTTCCTAGGCAGTGAATTAAATTCAAGCATGCTTGCATATCAAATCTCTGCATGCTAAGTCCAGCTGTCTCGAACTATTACCAAAGCTTCAGGTGCTACTTCTGCAGCAGCATCTTCCTCACTAGCTCAGATAAACAAGACTTGTTAGTCTACTACGTGATTGCTGTGAAGCCGATTAACCGGAAAGTACAAAGTAAAATCAAAAACGTTTTCTTTTCCTCACCTTGTACTTCATCAGTCTTACTCTTGTTCTTTTGGGTAGATACTATTGCTCTCTTATTCTTACATAGCATAAGTTATGGGGATTTTTGATATAGGGGTCGAAAGTAGCCTTAGAAAAAGCACTAAAACACCATATTCTGTAGTCACAAAGGCTTTAGTCAGAGGAGGCAATAACCCAGGGACATCAACCCCATCTCGCATACTGATTCTAACGACCCGTGTACACCTCGCATGGTCTGATACTATGCCTCCATCGCCACAGTATAGCACTGAAACAACACAGGCAATACCAGGTGGACATGATGCTACACCTGTATCTATTGGAAGCCAGTGCGTGACACACGGCTAAACACAAGAGAAACGCTCAAGACGTCATAAGACCTCGAAAGCATCATCTAGAACACGAGACTGGTGTCAAGCCAGTAGTGTTATCGTTTGTAAAACTGACTCATCATCTAAATACAACAATGGGTACACTGTCAGGCGTGAGGCTAGCAACCCCACCCTGTAAACAAAGTTGCTATAGAAACTTCAGCACGATGAATCTCCTTGCGCCAAAGGAAAAAGTCTGTGTTGTGACACGGATCGTCCACACCACGTACGAGATTGGCAGAGCTAACCAGATCGCAAACGAAATGAAAAGATACGGAATTCAGGTACTGGGGATATGTGAAAGCAGATGGAATGGGGATGGACTCGCCAAATTGTCAACTAGTGAGTCAGTGATCTACTCCGGTCACCCAGAAGATAACCACTTACACACCGAAGGCGTGGCTATCATGATGTCATCAACGGCAACGAAGGCCCTGATGCAATGGGAGTCGATCTCGTCCAGGATAATGACCGCCAGATTCAACTCCAAAGGGAATAAATTGTCAGTTATACAATACTATGCACCCACAAACAACGCAGACCTCCAAAATAAAGAAGAATTCTACAGGCAACTACAGGCAACAATGGACAATACTCCAGCTGGTGACATTAAAATACCAATAGGAGACATGAACACCAAACTGGGACCAGACAACACAGGAAGGGAACTCATCATGGGTATAGAAGCTCTCGGAGAAATGAATGAAAATTAAGAACTCATCGCCGACTTCTGCGCCTTCAACTAACTAGTGATTGGTGGCAGTGTATACAAACACAAAGGTATCTATAAGGCTACATGGGCGTCACCAGATGGGCGAACCAAAAACCAAATTGATTTCATCTCAGTCTCAAGGAAGTGGGGGCGCAGCCTACTGGATACAAAAGTAAGAAGAGGAGCAGACGCTGGCTCAGATCACTATTTCGTACAAGGGACAATCCAAGTCAAACTAAAAGCTTTCAGAGAGGGAGAAGCTGCAGACAGACCACAAGCCAAGTTCAACACTCAAAAACTGAAGGACCATGATACAAAGGACATCTTCATTGCAAGCATAAGGGACAAAGCCCAGACGCAAATCAACACCAGCGAAAAGGTCGGCGTCGAAAAGCATTGAGACAGCCTGAAAGCAGTGTGGAGTCAAACCTGCATGGAAGTTCTAGGCAGAAAGAAGAAACAGGACAAACAGTGGCTTACTACGGAGACTTAAAGACTAATAGAAGAGAGAAGGACAGTGAAACAAAAGATTATCCAGTGCACTGACGAGCAACAAAAACAGGATTTGAATGCGAATTGCAATACACTGAACAAAAGGGTGAAGAAAAGTGCCAGGGAAGACAAAAGAAAATATTATGAAGCCATGTCAAGTGAAGCAGAACAAGCTGCTGGCAAAGGAGACTTCGCCGCACTCTACCAAACAACTAGGCACCTATCGGGCAAAAGTTCGACACAGATCAAGCCAGTTAAGGATGACGATGGAAAGTCAATCTCCAAAGAAGTGGAGCAAAGAAAACACTGGGTTGAACACTTCCAAAGACTTCTGTCAAAGTCCAGCTCTTCCCACGCTGGAAGTCACGCTGTCCCTGGAAGACTTCCAGAAACAATGTGTAATAACCACTGCGAAAAACCAGAACACAGATTTACCACTCGAGAATCCTTCATTCTTACGCCGATGTGTAGCCAACAATAAGCTTATTATACACAAGATCTAAGAATAAATGTTATAATAAATCACGATAATACTTCTGATAGTTCTCTCTCTTCCAACCAACACCGAACGATGAGACGATGACTGCTGGATTGATGACTCTCGAGAAAAATATGGAGTTGGGTTTGAGAAAACAACTATGAATTGATCGTTCAATCTTCAACTACATTGTTACTCCCTGGCAAAAAACCGATCCATCCCTTTTTCCATCACGACCAATACACGTTGACTTGGATGCCAGTGAGAGAACTTGGGCCACATGGACAAAGCTGAAATGGAACACAAACAGCAGAGCCAACACACCACATGGATACCCACAGCACAATCTCACCCATCGATGACAACCTACGCCTTCCAGTTAAAGGCATCCTCTTGAAACCTTGCAACACAATCGCCACATACACAGCAATCTCGAATACCGCCCCTTCATTCACAACAGAGACGAAAATAAGGTCCTCATGACTGAAGAGAGGTATGCAACGTATTCAGTAAGCAAATAGGGAGGCTAGGTTTACATGGCGAGTATCCAAGAGCCAGACCGTCCACGACGTATACTTGGGACTCAGGAATCGTTGCAACATGAGAGTCAGGAGTGACAGGAAGTCAATTCAGACTAACCCTGCCAAAAACTCTTGGCGAACCCCAAAAGCTCGGATCGACGCATGTCGGAAAGAAAGCTAACCAACTAGGGGCATGCATCCTAGTTGGTCCAAACGGTTAATACCTAACATTCAGTTCGGCCTTCACCGAACAGTTAAACATCAATGTGGGTATTTTGGTACAGATCAAAATGGCTGCACCAATGTTTCACCGGAGTAAAATCCTAGTGGCTACTCCCAAATAAACCAAGCAATAGTACTAGGGAAGCTAGAGAGACTCACATCGGGAAAGATCCAAAGTTGTTATAAAATCAGGCCATCTGTTCTGAAACAGTGCGCTGAAGTTCTCTGTAGACCCTTATACGACTCGTTTCAACACTCAGCGGATTCGAGGAAACTACCAAGGGAGTGGAACAAGGCCAGCTTTTCTCCGATCTTCAAAGGTAGGGACAGACAAAATGCCACTTGTTATAGACCAAAAGCATTACTCCCAGCGGTATCGAAAGTACTTGGGAGTATTATTGATGATCACATCAAGGAGCACCTTGGTAGAACAAATATACTCCCGGAGGCCCAACACGGTTTCAGGAAAGGCAGATCCTGGGATATGAATGTTCCAGTACGTGTGGTCCTCCTACACTTTGAGAAGGCATTTGACACAGTTCACCATGACCTTCTCCTACACAAAATGAGTCATGCGTGTACAGGTAAGTCGCTTCTGTCGTGGTTGGAGGGCTACCTAGCTGAAAGGAAATTTAGCACTAAAGTCAATCGAGTCCGATCATCTTGACACGGCTCGTCATCAGGGGTATCGAAGGGTTCTATCCTAGGATCACTGATGTTTATGGCTTTTATCAATGACCTGCCATGCTGTCTAAACTGCCAGACTCTTCTTTACGCTGGCAACTTGAAGATGTGGAGGGCAATAAAGAGTTCACAAAAGCCAGATAGGCTTCAGGCAGATCTAAAGCTTCAGAAAGACTAGGTGGTGACCAGTAGCATTACTTTCAACCGGAAAAAGTGCAGTGTGGTGAAATTACGCACCTGTGGGCCGCAGAATGCAAATAAAACCCTGTGCAGCGAAAGCTAGTCTTGTACAACGCTGGAGCGCGGTTTAGGTCTAGTTCTATAGGAAAAATGAACGCGAGCAGAAATTACACGAGTGGTGTAGCAAGGGTATATGCAGTCATGTAATTTACACATAGACAGTTAGGTGCACTCACTCCTGAATTCTTTCTGAGGTTGTGGAAAGCACACTTCAGACCGCACCTTGAAGTGCATAATGTCATTGCACCCCAAGTGGTAAGGAGAGATACGAACCCTTTAGAAAGAGTTCAAAGACTGGCGAAAAGGGGTGACGGGTTTCCGAAACAAACCATGTAATAAACGGCTAGAGAAATAGTGTCCCTCCACACTTAGCTACCATTGGCTTAAGAGGGATTTGATTACTGCCTACAGAATAACAAATGACCAGGATCACCCAAAGGCGCCCTGCCGTTGAGTGGCTATGTGCTTTCCTATGGAGACCCCAGAAGGATAGCTCACCAGAGGGCAAGGACTCGGGTGCGCTCCCACTTAGTTTCACTCGGGGTTTGTCGTTCCTGAAGCTCTTTACCGGGAGATGTAGCTATGGTGGACACCTTTAGGCGAAGGCTATACAATCATGTGGCGACACAAGGACTGCGTCCAAATGGCCTATCCCCTCAAACCCCCATATGACATTCAGGGGTAGACAACTAAATTCGTCGTTCTACTTCTCTCCCCTCTTACTCTCCTGATAACTGCAACTACTTCACTTACACTTATTAATATTATTGCTGACATTATATACATATATATTTATATGTGTATATACATATGTCAACCTTGAATTTAACTAGCTGTCTGTTTTTACGTTTCATTTATTTCCTTTTCTGCCTTTTAGTTTGAATAACCTGCACTAGTTATACCTATTATTATTATCTCTTTTCTTTTGACAACGATACCGGAGGACTAGCTGTTGAAGGGACCGACTCTATTCATATTAGTGACGAAGTCTTAACACATCGGCTGCGACAAACAAATAATTGATCCCAGAAATACTCCTTTTGGAGTCAACCAAAGCTACGACAGTCGAGTGGCGGACGAACTACGCAGAAGTCTATCGAAGACCAGGAACCTTTACCTCACAGTCAAGAAGCGAGCATAAAGAAGTAAAATTGGTCTATACTAGCTCGCAAAAACGATATTGGCTATATTGGAAAAGTATTCTAACTAGGTGATTACCGGAATATATGACACTAAAAGAGAAAGAGGAAAATAATGAATACTTATCTACCGAAAAAAGTCACTGAAAAAAACCGAAACTTGAATGTTTACCTTCTATATTCATAGTGCTGGTTTTACTTTCCAAGCTTTGTTTAAAGCTCTCATTTAGCTTGCACTTATCAGCATCATATTTCAATCAAAAAGAATTTACCGTGTGAGAGGTTTCGTACTCTCTAGTATTTCAAATATTGGTAAGGTTGTAATACTGACATGCTCATAAATTTTTACAGAATAAATTGATTCAGTAAGAAATTTATGTCGTATTTTCACAGATATGACAAATACCTGTAGCGCTTAATATTTATCTATATTAATGTAGTTGTCTCACTATGCATGTAAACCATTTGTACCTAAGGTCTTTCTATAAATACGTTTTTTACAGTTAATTTTGGATAACCATGACCTTTCTTAAATGGAAAGAAGGCAATGGGAAGAAAACATTAAGTCTTGTAAATCGACCAGATTGTACAATCTACACGTGTAGATCTACACGAGCTTGTCACTTGACAGGATTCTGGGTATGTCAAGCATATGCTAGAATTCGGTGAATCTAGTTTACGCATACTGCTTTCCTAGATTAAAAGCTGCAGATCGAGGAGAGATAATAAAATTCAGAATCCGTTTCCTATACAAACATTCCTGTGTACCGTGTTCTTCAGTTTATCCCTTATATTGTGGCTTCTTGTGAAACCACCTCCTTGACCTCAGATGAGAAGACTGATTATTGCGCAATCTTTTGACGCTTTAACAAACCATATTGATAAGTATTCATTAAATTTGATTTCAATAATTCTCATTCTCATGTGGAATTACTGGGATGTGCACATTCTGAATAACAAATGTCTTGGTACACCTTGACAAAATTATCTACTCAGAGTTATGGTGATGCACTGATTATGCATCCGTTATTGTGAAAACGTAAAGACGGTTTAATTAATCACACCAAGTGTTATTATCCTACCTCACTTAATAACCTACAAACCTTGAAGTTATTAAAAAGTTCACTGGTCTAATGATATGTTTCAATAAAAACAAAATCTGGACACTGTTATGCGTTTTATCCTAAGTTATTAAGTGTTAGATTTTATAATGTTTAATATCAAATTTAACAACATCCGATTTTCTTTAGCACTGAGTTTGTGAGATTTTCCATGCTGATTACTAATGAAAGGCCATCATAACACTACATAATTTAGTGTTTTCTGTTGGCCTGATCAATACCGGGAATACAAAGGCACGTATCTAGGCTTGATTTATCTCAAAGACGGAAACTAAGGTATCCATTTACCTTCTGTTGATAAAGAATAAATGTGATTATTGGAAACTCACACACTGACTGAAGCCGTTTGAAAACCTCTTACTGCTAATATATCGAGCCTTTTATAAGGGACAGAGGTTCACGTCTCTTTCAAATGTTGTTTTTGACCAGTATGAGTAGAAAAACTCTGAACACTCTTCATTTAAACTGTACAGTTAAAATGTTACAGCAGCAAAGCATCAGCTTCACCTGAACACACTCATATTTACGTTCTTTAGTATGTGTCCTAATAATTATAGTAGTAAAATTAGATAAGCCCATTATTTGTGATCTTTTAAAGAAGAATCATGTGTTACAGGCTCCATTCTGTTAGGCCTCATAATGTCTGAAATACAGGTGAATAGCCCACTACGAACTGTTACACTGTAACAAGTGGTCGTTCGTCTAAGAAGAACACTTAAACTCCCAAACAATCACTGACTATCTGTAATAATATGTGAAGGCATGAGAAACTGAGTTTGTTAAATAAAGTCGAGCCTTACGTATTTCATTGATGAAAATGTAAAGCAGTGTAGTTTACTAAATACTGTGTAATCTGTATGGCTTGGCATAAAGATCAATCATGATCAGTCAGGTTAACAAAGTATATCAGCTTTGATAAATTCAGAATAGTATAAACTCCAGCAAGATAAGCGATGTAAGAAAATTACTATTACACTGTGGTGCACCCACTAACATACACCATTTAAAGGGTAATATTATTAAATGCGAGGATAGACGGGCCGATTACCGACATTTTGTTAATTGAACCCATAGTCAATGCATACACCAACAAAAATCGAACTCAAATACTTAGTGAAAAGTTCTAAATCAACTAAATGGAAGGAACAAAGCCTGTACAAGACAAACTACAGGTGTGTTTAAAGTTTTATTGCATAAGTAGGACTGTTTATTTGTAGGCCAACTTTAATTTATTTCTATAGAGTCTTCAGCGGGCAATGAGCTGTTGGAGAGACATCTCTTCCGAATGCCGTCTAACGTCTTGACTGCTGACATGAAAATTAAGTAGACAAAATGATTGCTTAAAAGTTTACATGATTCACTATTATTATTAGACTTTGCTATCGGTGACATTCCGGGAATCATAGATGTAAAATGGTGCACATCTACTTTTCGAATAACCACTAAGTTTAAGTATATATGCAATAATTTTATCTTGGTCAGTTCCTCTCCTTAGTTTGGGGCTCTGTGTGTTTGTTTTGCCGTCAGAACTAGCTACATTTACTGATACTGGCAGTAGCATGTTTTCACGCATTTAACTGTTAGTGGTCAGATCACTGGTTGATTCAAGACACTGAGGACTACAGACGAAGACTTAACGAAATTGCCAAATTTATGGAGTTACAGTGCTACTGCAAAACGTCCAGGAAAAAGCGCCGTAAGTTCGTTAGTTAGCTAGTTAAAAGTCGACATCAGTGAGATAGTTGAATTCATTGGTAGCCTTACTTCATCGCTTTTCAACTATAACCCTGTTTGTCTTACGTAATCATTTCAGTAATGTTGATACTGACAGACTGAGATTTCAATGTAGAACTTTACATAAGAGTGCAGCAGTCGAGTTTGTTACACACCATTCAACACACAAAGATAGAGAAGAAGAATTCCAAGCAACTGTTATACACTGTGACGGACGCGAGGAAAAACAATTGGTTTAATGGATTTCGAGAATAACAAACAGTAAATACCATATTAGTTTGTTTATTAGACATATCACACAGTGAAACAGTATTATTTACTGGGTGATGTTTTGAACACAATCACATCAATTGTAATTACACGACTTCGAAACTTGACGCTTATAGTTTTCTTTATTCTTTCCTACTCGTCGCCGTAGGGGTAGTAAAATGTTTCAGATGGCCTGCTGGACAGATGTTGAATCATTCCTACTACACGTGTTTGTAGTTGATTCGATAGACAAAGCTTCTATTATAAATCTCTCTTTGCACCCTGTGGCATTACATTTTAAAACTGTTATCTTATCCCATCCTGTTGTATGGTTGTATGTAATTGCATGTGGGGAATGGTATAGCTCAACTGTTCTCTAGATTTCTTATCTTATTCGGGTCAACTAATCTAGATTTTGCTAGGTTTTGTCCTTGGCTAGTCTGACTGCACCTGTTTAACAACTTTGACCTATGTATTTGACCTGACAATCATTGCAGACAGGCTATTAGATAAACTAAATTGTTTTGTTTTAAAGGCTTCACAGGATTGATCTTCTAACTGACAAATCTTGTTTCTAATTTGGTTTGTGGGGTGTTTGAATGCCAACCGCTTTTATTCCTGATTTGTTAAGAATTCTGCTCAAGGTTTCTTACTTGTATGGAAGTACTGCTGATGGTTTATATTCCTTATTGTTGGTGTTGTCGTTATCCTGTGCCTGTTTGACATTCATGGCGTCACTAAGATTACCATTATTATTATTATTGTTATTATCACTATCACTACTATCATTATTTATTTTATATTCACATTTCCTTACATACTTTCTGACTAGTTTTTCAGAGTAATTATTAAGTTTCAAAGCTTCCCTCACTTCCTTTGTACTACTTCGTTTTCGCGCTCTATTACTTAAACATTTCACCAATCCTATTTTCACTGACATAGTCTGGGGTGATCGGAAGTCCAAATATCTGTCTGAATATGTGGGTTTTCTGTAAACACTAGTGTTTAACTTCCCATCTTCTTTCCCCTTTACGTTGCAATCTAAAATTGGAAGCTCCTCTTCCTGACTTTCCGATTCAAAAGTAAATTGAATTGCCTCCACCTTTGAGTTAATGTGTTCGAAAAATCTATCTGTATCCTGTGTTCTAAGTACAGTGAATGTGTCATCTACATACCACCACCATACTTTTGGAGGGGGGCGGTGAACGTTTCAATCGCCAAGTTTTCCCAACTATCCATGAATATATCTTCCACAACCGGGGATATTGGTGACCCTATGTCAACTCCCTCAGTTTGTTTGTATATCTTCCCTTGGAATTTAAATACTGCGGAAGTCAGACATAGCTGCATTCCCAGTATTATGTCCTTAAGTGGCACTTTCGTCCTAAGTTCAAGTTCTTGGTCAGAAATGAGTTCGTTTCTGACTGCCTTTATAGTCATATTAATAGGTATACGTGTATTACTATTATTATGATTACTGTTTAGTGAATACATCTGCTTCTTTGAGAACAATTTTTTAACTACATCATGAAGAGTTTCCAACCGCTAATTCTTAAAGTCTCGAAAACCCTAACCAGGCAAAGTGACTCAAACCAGCTGTCAAAGACATTATGGATCGATGCCAGGTTTGAGCTATCTCTGATTCTTTTCCAACCCGATTGTATATCGAGGAATGCTATGGCTGGGCATGGGCGACACTTGTTCCAACCATGTCAATCGGTTTAGATCCACAACCTTATCGATTAACTTACCCTCCTTATCTAGCAGTCTGCGCCTAACTTCAGTAATGCTCATCATATTATACGCTTGATCGAAACACCTGTGTTCCGAAACAGATAGCCAACTGTTTATTCAATTAACTACTTTCAGTAACATTGAACAAACCCACTGTAACTATGCTGCTTTTTCCCTTGTTTTTCTAATCAGAGACAGTATGGATAATCTCCTGCCTAGAGGTGATCCTCGAGTAGAAAATTGGCCATTAATGAATAGTCCAATGCCTGTGTTGCTAATTCTTTCGTTATATTGGGCTTTTGTTTTTTGGCTTGGTCCAAAAATTATGAAAAATCAGTCGTCAGGATTTCATCTACGTCCACTTATGGTTATTTACAATGTTGTTATGGTAGCATTTTCATTTTGGTTGGTGTATGAATTCGCTGTATCAGGCTGGTTGTCTGGATATACATTTGGCTGTCAACTGGTTGATCGTTCAACAAGACCAAAAGCTATGCGTATGGCTAATGTTTGCTGGCTTTATTTTATTACGAAACTTATTGAACTATTTGACACTGTATTATTTATTCTTCGAAAAAAATTTGAATTAGTCAGCTTTCTGCATGTATTCCATCATTCAATGATGCCTATATCATGGTGGTTTGGTGTAAAATATGTTCCAGGTAAGAATCATTGTACTTTGTATTAAATGTATTTCAATTCTGTGTGTTTTTCTATGTATATAAAGACAAGGTTAAGTAATCCACAACGGGAAACTTACGGAATTCTTCGAAGTGAGGACTGGATTAAGACAAGCAGGCTGGCTGGCTGCCTACTATCGCCAATGATTTTCCTGATTGATGGTGTAGACTGGATAATGCGATAAACAGTGGTGGGTAGCGAGGAAACAGGTATAAAATGGACCCACACAAAAAACTTGGAGGGTATGGACTTCGCCGATGATATATGTGTGATTTCCCACAAACTGGAAGATATGCAAGTGAAAAGCAACAAGTTGGCAGTAGAAGCATCCAGAGAAGATAGGACTTCATTCTGGTGAACACAGAGAAAACAGAGGTGATGATGAAGATTCCTGGCCAACAACAACATACAACAATCAGCCATCATAAATGGAAGGAACCTGAAAGAAACAACCTCCTTCACCCACCTAGCTACCTGTGGATCATCGTTTCAACTACAGGCGCACGGAACTGACGAGAATATCAAAGCAGTGAGGATCGGGAAAGCGAAACAAGCTTTCATTACTCTTAAGTCTGTGTGGACGTCAAAAGCACTCAGCATCAAAAATAAGATCCGGATTTTCAACTCCAATGTGAAGTCAGTGCTACTCGCTATACGGATCAGAGACTTGACCAACGCGTCATAAAGAGCATCTCAAGCAAACTACAGACCTTCATCAACAGCCGTCTTCGCTCATTACACAAGATCAGATGACTAGCCAGAAAGGATCAGCAACAGGGATTTCTGGCAATGAGCGAACCAACCAGGAACCGATTGTGCAACAAATAGGCAGGAAGAAATGGAGATTGATTGGCCATACTCTGAGGAAACCATCAAGTGAGTGACATCACTAGACAAGCCATTGTTTGAGTGGAACCCGCCGAAAGAGAAGCGGCGAGTTGGTCGTCAGTGCAAGGGTGACTTGGAGGAGGTCATGTGAGGAGGAGATGAAAGCATGTGGCTAGACTTAGAGCCAGGTGAAAACTCTAGCAGAGAACTGAACGCAGTGGAGACGCGCGGTTGAAGCCCTATGTTCCTCTAAGAATTAAAGGGAGTAATAATAATAAAGACAAGGTTGTACATTCGTTCTGTGCAATGTTATACTATGTACCACAAGAACCATTGATAACGAACCTGCTAACATCCTATCGTCGAAAAGTTTGCAGAAGGAAGTGAAGATGATATCATACTCAACGCTGTCGAGCGGAACCCAAGTTAGTAGTGACAAATTATAGAGATGAAAAAAACACAAAAAGTTCAGCAAACAGACATCTTCTCAGCGATTTGATCCTCAAAGCTGTACAACTGCATTTGTTTACATAAGTTTACATAGTTACAATAATAATTTAATGAAAAATGGAGATTAAAGAAGAGGTGGTAATTTTCAAATTTGATCTGAAAGTCTGAATGTATGAACAAAGATTGACTGACTGACCAACTGACTGGTTTCAACGTAGAACTTTGCACAGATGTACAGCAGTTTGAGTTGCCACACTCCCTCCGAATAGCGCACAAAGCACAAGAAGGGAGTAAAGAGAGATTCAAAAGAGGTGAGAGACAATAAATAGTAATATGAGGCAGAAAGATTAGTAATGTAGAAGAACAAAAGAATTTTATTGGATATTATAAATCACATATCACCGATTGTCTCCAGTCTTCATTGGTTTTTACCGTCCCGAGGCCCCTAACCAGTCACGAAGTCCACACCTTCCTACTTGGCTTAAACTAACTCTTGTGGATTTCGTTGACTGATGAGGCCATGTTTTGGTTTGACCACCACTGGCTTTTTTCCAACCTGATCCTATGTCAGTCAGCTAACATTGCCCGTTGGTGAAGGAAGGCGATGGCTAACGGAGCATGCGTAATACATGTCCTAATCATCTCAATCGGTTTAACTTCACAACCTCGTCGATTGATTTCCCCTCCCATCTATCTAGCACTCAACTGACGCCTACCCTCAATACTATACACCTTATATAGATTATGGGGAGGATGGAAACAGAATTGCATAGGTTTGGAAAATAGTTGAGTAATATGTAGTTTTTAAGGAAGACGGCTATGAACGGAATGCGCATAGCAACAGACTAAAGTAATAATAGTTTTTATAACTTAAGTTGAAAAATTGAAGAGAATGATGAAAAGACAAAAACAAATGAAAAGTAAAAGAATCAAGCCAAACTAGATCCATGGTAAATGCAACAGTTGAACTAGTTTCTTTTGAAAGCATAGCTCCAAGCTTACAATATATGTGGCAACGGATTCTGCAGCACAAAGAAGTCGGAAGCACACGACCTCTGACAAACTTTTATTCAATTACTAGTGTTCTCTGAGCTGATTGGTTAAGTTGCGGAGCTTTCGTCTTCCCCCCACTGCTGGACAGCATCCCCTTTCAGCGCAATATTTAGCATAAAGTGAAATGAATTAAATTTCTTCATGAGTGATAGAATTGCGTCTCCCAGTAACCATCTTTGCATATGTATTGACCATTTTCTATTGACTTGGATTTTAAACTTTCTGGTCACACGATTTACTTTTTACTAGTTGGTGGTATATTTGGTCTATATTAACGTGTTTGTTAATTGAACAGTCGTTTGAGTACCAGGCTTCTAGGAATTCCCTGACTGCACTTTTGGTGTTTCCTCTGTCCAAGATTTCGACATTATCCCAATCAAACTGATGTCCACAATTATCTATATGCACTGATGTGAAAGAGTATGTATCATGTTTTTTCACAGTTAATTTGTGATCTTGGATTCTGATTCGAGGGGATGCCCACTTTGACTGATGTAATGCCTGTTACACTTCATACAATTTATTTCGTATAGTGTTAATTTTATCTTCTTTTTCTGCTGGATGGGGCTTTCGGTTCGCATAAGATCGAATGAAGTGAATTGACTGGCTGGCTTGTGTGCTATATCTGTATCAAACGGTTTCAATATTCTAGCTGTTATTTCAGAGATATTTTTCATGTATGGTAGGATGAATTTTCTTGTGGCCTTTGATGATGGTCTCTTGTTGCTGTTGTATGAATGGAGTTTAAACACTGTTTGATGAAATTGTGGCGGGGATATCCATTCTTTTCGAAGACCGTTAGTAGGTTTTCTTCTTCCATCCTTTTCAACTCTGGAGTGCTACAGTGTTGTGTTTGAACTCTCTTGTGATTAATGTCTGGACACTGTTTCTTTTGTGAGTAATTGGGTTACTGCTAGTATAGTTGAGTATTTGATCTGTGTGTGTGCGTTGATTTTCTATATACTTGTGTTTCTAAATTTCCTGTGTTGGTTCTCCTGATCAAGACATCTAGGAGGAATGGGATTTTGTTATCTAATTCTTCTTCTCTAGTGGTGAATTTGATGTCTTCAAATATGTTGTTTATTAATTTATGGGTATATTCTTAATCATTTCTCTTAATTAATACAAATGTATCATCAACGTAGCTTACCCAGAATTTTTGCTTGATTATAAGTAGAGCTATTAATTCTAATCTTTGCATGATGGCTTCAGCTATTAATCCTGATATGGGCGATCCCATTGGTGTGTTCCTTTTATCTGTTCATATATTTGAGTATTGAATTGGAAGTATGTTGTAAGGCATAATTCTCTATTAGACTTTTATTCATTTTTGTAAATAACTCCGATTGATGAGTCAGTCAGTTGAGACGCTGTAACTGGTGCTAACGAGTTGTTCAATTATAGTGCTTCCGATTGAACCAGTACCGCCTTTTTTCATCCATACTGGTTAGTGTCCTCTTGTGAATTTTGAAAGGACTCACATATAGAACGATGTATGCACGCATACATCTGCAAGAGGAAGTGAATTGATATATGCACACTGAAGTGATCATATGCAAGAATCTATTCTTCGAGTTGATTAGAGGCAGTAGGAAACTAGAGAATATCACTCTTTGTGTTGCTGCAGGAAGGGTCTTCTTTAGGAAACTAGAGATTTTCCTCTTTAGCGTATCTACTGATAACTCTCCCACGAAGTCCAAGTTCATATGTATATATACATACATATAGTGTTTTCTTTGAGGTTGAACTGCATTCTTCACTTTTTGGCTTCGTTTTCATATTCTTCTCCACGAAGCATTCTGGGTATCCATTTTCATCTAGGAAATTTTTTTGAGAATTAAGAACCCTTCTTCTAAGTAGTCAGTACTGCAGATTGTTGTGATACGGTGAGCATCATGTTGAAATAAATTATAATTCTAGCTAAGTAAAGTTATGTATATGTACGTCGGTGGCACAGCGGTTGGGATGCTCGCCAACCATGCACATGGTCTGGGGTTCAATCTCTAGCCGACGCATTCCTTTAAGTCGCTAAACCAGTAATAATGTTGCTAAAAAGGAAAGGCTTGGCATGAGGCAAGCAAACAGTGCTACAGAAACTTCAAGCCTCTAGCTTGAAGCGCTATGTCCCACTGGGAACGTGAAGGGATAAAAGAGAAAGTTATGTATATAAATTCGATTGTACAGCTTTTGAGGTTGAAGTCGTCGAAAAGATATCTATTTGTTAAGTTTCTTGTTCCTTTTTCTCTGATGTTCTGATGGATATTTCTTACGATTTGAAAAAGCAACAAGTTGCCCGTAGGCAACATGGAAGAGATCATATAAGGTGGAAATGTGGAAGCTTCTGCAAAGTTGTGGAGCCAATTGGAAGCAATGACAGAGAACCAAGAGGAATCGAGGAGATGTACAACACAAGAAACGAATATTAATAATAATATGAGGTCAACTGGTGGATGGTGACTAGCAATGGAATCCAACGAGAATACCCATTTCGTCCTATTTGGGACTCGTCAACAGGATGTACCTGGATTCCCACCCAGGATTGAACTCAGTGCCCAGAGTTTCAAGCACCAAAGCGTTATCCACTAGACCACTTGGGCCAGGACAGCCACCTCTTATACAAGGGGCCTTATTAATTATTTAATTCAACTTTGATTTTCCCGTCGATTGATTGAACCGAAGTGCCCTATCCCAGGTTGACATGACGGCTCCTTGTGCAGATGCTTCGACGATGTCTGGTCATATAACTTGAAGTCAATTGTTAGATGTTGACTAGCAGTGGAATCCAAGATGTGCATTTCTTCCCATTCGGGTCTCATCACCGGACGTACCAGACATCGTCGAGGCATCTGCACAAGGAGCCGATATGTCAACCTGAGACCATAGACTTCGATCCAATAAATAGATGGGTAAATCTAAATTGAATTAAATAAGTAATAATGCCATATTTGAACACTATGCTTTCAATGTAACAAATTCATCACTATGAACATTTGTTTACGTTTGATTTAAATCGGTTAAATGTATATTTTTTTTAAATGTGATCGATTACCAAGTTGGCAAATATTATTCTGAATAAATTTTGAGTTAGAATAATGTGCAAATAATGAAATTCGTAGTCATTAGAGTATAATTATTGTGACTATAATATTTATTGGCTTTCTTTCTCTGGTTTCAGGTGGTATAGGAACTTTTCATGCATTTCTGAACAGTATTATTCATTTCTTCATGTATACTTATTATGGTTTAGCGGCAGCTGGACCTCGTTTTCAACGTTATCTGTGGTGGAAAAAGTAGGTTTAATATTGGTGAAATTATTTTTCTTTTACTTAACTATATCAGGTTTTGGTTTTTAAAAAATTTGATTCTGCGCAGTCACTGACCTGACTCAACTTTCAGAAGTACTGTCTGATGCCTTTCAAAATGTCATTCGCCTAGTTTAATTGTCATCCAATTATTATTACTGTTACTGTTCCCTTGGGTTCTGAGTGGAACAGATCTCCACTTTCTTCTGTTTTCTGCTGTCCTCTTCATCTGGGTCCACAAGGGCCCATAATCTCTCATCTCCTCCTTCCTAAGCGATCTTCTTCATGTCGTCCTCATACCGACAACCCACTCGTCACTTTCCACTGGGGTTCCTATAGAGCAATGACCTGACTAGCTCACTATGTTATTCGAATGCCTCCTCCATAGTGTGTGCCGCCATCCGCAATTTCTTCTACATATTTGTTGAGCGATCGGCTCTCGACTATTGGTTTGTTCTCAGCCGGAGATTTTGTTACTAATTCTTTCTGATCGGCCAGCAATTTGATCTTCATCATGGAGCCAGAGAAGTAGGCGGTTATTGATAAAAGCCTGTAACTTGTTGGAAATCCTTTCCATGATACTCAGTGCAAGTGTCTGACCCGTATAGAAGAAGTGACTGACTGACTTCACATTTGTGTTGAAAACCCGAATCTTGTTCTTTATGCTGACTGTGCGTCGGTGGCACAGTGGTTAGGACTCTCGCCGACCATGCACATGGTCCGGGGTTCGAGCCCACGCCGACGCACACTTGATATCTATGGTCGGCCTGGGAATTTTGGGCTACCGATATCCACGCTGAAAATTCCACACTTGTACCAAAAATACAGTGTGGAATCAAGCTGTAATCCAAAAAATAAAAATAAAAAAATAAAAAAGATTTCATGGTTTTATACTCCACATTGTTTCATAAAGTTATATTTGTAAAATCTCAGCGAAATTCCAACGTTTCGTTCGGCAATCTGGTCCGAACTTCTTCAGGGAAATTAATCGAAATTAACATAACAAAAGTTTATATGTAAAGGAACACCTTGTTTTTTTAAAATTTTTGTCCAATCATGAGTCATGCAACAGGTATCAACATGTATAATAAATAAATAAATAGAATTGTATGTTTACATATAAAAGCACATCTCTTATTTTTAAATATGAATCAAGAAACAATCAATTGGTATACTAAACAAAACAAAACAAAAATTATGATCAAAAATTTTTTGACCTCAGACTTTCAAAATTTTTCTACTTTTGTTAAAATATATGTGTATATGCAGTATACAATGCTGTGTGTGTGTGTGTGTGTGTGGGTGGGTGTGGGTGAACAGTTATAAAACATTTGTTATTCTCATATGAGCTGTGATCAAGATTTGACCGGATAGTTGCAAAATAATTGAGACTTTTATAAGAATAATTTAATTTTTATAAATTTGTTATTCCCTCCATTACATTGCAAGTATTGGTATAGTTGTGCTGTCTAATCCGAGTGGTTTAATTACGATCGTCTTTCGCTGTTCTTCAATATGAAATTAGCCCTGAAGATGTGCTACCTGGAAGCCAATGAAAGCTTCGCATTTTCAACCATCTAACCCAGAGAGCACAACTAGACTAATATCATCCACCTTAGTTACAAATCTTTCCCATCATTCCCATATTATAATTCCGCATCCTCATAGCCTGGTTCGAATACTCACCAGTGCTTAGTAACTGAGTCAGCCTCATACTCAATGGTGATGGACTACAGAGAGAGATTTCCTGAAGTTCCGGCAAAAAGTCGTGATTATTAGTGTCTACCAGGTCAGGTGTGAAGACAAATACTCACCAACGACACTGATTGGCACTGGCGCTAAACAATCACAAAGTGACAGAAGTTAGAGTTTCAGAGCCGTCGGATTTTGTCCCAGTGGCCGAATGGTCACCTCGCAACGCGGAGGTTTTTGTTATGATCCCCGGTTGGGTCATGGCTGAGCATTGATGAAGACTGCCAAACGAAGACGGAATAACTGTCCAGTAATTCGCGGTTCTATCAAATATTCTCTCCAACTTCAATTGAATTTTAGATTTTCCCGTCGATTGATTGGACTGAAGTGCTCGGTCTCAGGTTGACATGTCTTCTTGTGAAGATCCTTCGACGATGTCCGAGAATTTAATTTGTGGATGGTGACTAGCAGTGGAATCCAGGATGTGCGTTTCGTCCAATTTGGGGTTCGTCAGCCACTGGATGTACCTGCATTTTCCAGTGAGTGATGAAGTTCCCACCGAGGCTCGAACCCAGTTCTCTCGTGGTCCAAGTGGTCTAGTGGATAGCGCTTTGGCGTTGGAAACTATGGGCACTGGATCCGATCTTCGGACGGAACACCATCAATCACTGATTGGGGAATGCAGGTACATCCAGTTGGCTGACGAGTCCCAAATAGGACGAAATGCACGTTATCCTGGATTCCACTGATAGTCACTATCCACAAATTAGATTCTCTCTAACTGATATCAATCTGTGATCAAAGTTGAGATGAATCAAATCTCTACAAATTAATACTCTATTAGATGTTTTATCACGATTGATTAATGTTTCTTTCGAAAATAATTTCATCAGAATGCAGACTATGCGTTAATTTAGTTTCCCTACTGCGGTATGTAGAATTCTGTGGTTGCTTAATTCGTGTGCTCAACCACGACCCTTGATAGTGTTTAATCAATGGTAGAAGTCATTGGATCATCGACTGTAGCACTTGACTTTCAGCCACCTATTTCGATCCTGGAAAGCTGGACAGCAAGTATTGTCAGCCTCGTAAGTGACGAACGCTTTGCAGACGACTGATTACTAGTAATATGAATTGATGACGTTTCGAGCACAAAATATTGCTACTCATAATCATATCAAGGCACTACTAACACAACTTTTTTCCTTCATTAATATACACATGTGGAATCGATTAGATATTTAAATAGAAATCAATATAGGATGATGTACATTCAGAAATAATAACATGAGTGTTATTGATTAATTACAATCAGATGGGAAATAAGACAAGAGCTTTTACTATAGTCATAATAAGTAACTTGTTCGAATGTTATAATGTATGTGAATAGAAATACAATTTTATGATTATTTATTATCCTGCTCAGATTTGACTGGTGGTAGTAATATCTTCTATATTTCTGGCATTTGTATTGAGTCATGTGTTGGGTGTAGACTCAATGAACAGGGATTTAGTAATCAACCTCTCTCCACCTGCATAGATCACTTCTTAGAATCTTAACCCTCTCCCATCTAACTTATCGTGTGGTTGTGTGTTAATGAATGCAGTTCAATGTAGTGCTGCGCTTTTATTCTAAATAGCTGATCTTCTTGGGGTCAAGCATTCTTACCTTAGCTAAATTTTTATTCTCCGAAAAGTCTGATTACCCCCGATCTACTAGTTCGACTGACCTATGTAGTTAGTTGACCTCACAGTCATTGCAGGGTATTTTGTAAATTATATTATTTTGTTTAATTGGGTCCACCGGGTCTTTTAGCCTACAGAGCTAACAAGTTACTTATTACGACTATAAAAACACTCGCCTTATTTCCCATCTGATTGTAATTGATCAATAATATCGACTGATTACTAGATATATAAAAAATACACCCAGGAATCATAACTGCAGCTGACAGTCATCAACTGAAGGCCTAGAATTGCTGCTTGGCGATTCCAGTTGACATATTTAAAATCTTCACAACAGCATAAGAAGAATGAAAGGTGAGGAAGTGAGAAAAGTGTGCGTCGGTGGCACAGTGGTTAGGACTCTCGCCGACCATGCACATGGTCCGGGGTTCGAGCCCACGCCGGCGCACACCTGATATCTATGGTCGGCCTGCGAAATTTGGGCTACCGATATCCATGCTGAAAATTCCATACTTGTACCGAAAATACGGTGTGGAATCAAGCTGTAAATCTAAAAAAAAAAAAAGTCAAAAGACAGAACAGGAAGACACAGATGTAAGCAACTAAGTTGAATACTTTTGCAGTTGATGGAGAAAATAAATAAATACTTCTGTACCAATGCTACCCGGTGCCGAGCTGTACCACTCACGGTCTCCAGTCCTCGGTTCCAACTGTCCCAGCAGGTTCTGAGTTAGTCAAATTGCACTTCCATAAGCTCCTCTGACCAACGGTCATATTTTGGCGTAATGTGTTATTACAATGACAACCTGTAGCATCATCATTATTATAAAATCCTACGTCATATTAATTTTAAGCGTGATAAACGAAATGACTTCATTTAGAGAGCCAGTGAAAGCCAAGGAGTTCTGGACAGCTATTTCATCCTTGTTCCAGACTCTTGAGAGACACGGATCCATGAGCTAGTAGGGGGTCGAACCCAGAACCTTTAGGTTACGAGGCAAGCTCATTAAATATATAGTCAGTTTGACCGGATCCGATGGCTCATGAATTCTAACTGCTGACAGTTCACGATAATTAATTAATTAATTTATTGTGCGAAGACACGTTACAAGAACAGTTTGACTGTCTAAATAACTTTAATATAGTAACGAGCAACAGAATTTCCCTCGAAATACCATGTAATAAACTATGCCGTGTAACCGGAAGCTTTATCATATCAACTTATCTAACTTCATTATGGATAAGATTTTATTTTCATATATCACACAGTGTTGTTATACAGTAATATTAAGTGATACATGACGTTTCGAGCACAAATTAGTGCCACTCATATTCATATCAAGGCACTACTAACACAACTTTTTTCCTTCATTTATATACACATGTGGAATCGATTAGATATTTAAATAGAAATCAATATAGGATGATGTACATTTAGAAATAATAATAATACGAGTGTTATTGATCAAATACAATAAGATGGGAAATAAGACGAGTGTTTTTATAGTCAAAATAAGTAACTTGTTAGAATGTTGTGATGTGCATGAATTGAAGTAGAATTTTGAGATTATTTATTATCCTCCTCTGATTTGACTGACTGGCGGTAATAATACCTTCCATCCATATCTCTGTTATTTGCATGGAGTCATTTCTGTTTCATGTGTTGGGTGTAGACTCAATGAACCAGGCAAGATTCAGTAATCAATCTCTCTCTGTCTCCACCTACATAGATTACTTCTTAGAATTTTAACCCTCTCCCACCTTATTGTGTGATTGTGTGTAAATACATGCAGTGCAACAGAAATGACTCCATGCAAATAACAGAGATATGGATGGAAGATATTATTACCGCCAGTCAGTCAAATCAGAGGAGGATGATAAATAATCTACAAATCGTATTTCAATTCAGGCACATCACAACATTCTAACAAGTTACTTATTATGGGTATAAAAACACTCGTCTTATTTCCCATCTGATTGTATTTGATGAATAACACTCATAGTATTATTTCTGAATGTATATTATCTCATATTGATTTTTATTCAAATATCTGATCAGTTCCACATATGTATATAAATGAAGGAAAAAGTTGTGTAAGTAACTTGATATGATTATGAGTGGCAATAATTTGTGCTCGAAACGTCATCAGTTAATCTTACTGTATAACACCACTGTGTGTGACTTTAACAAAACAAAATCTTATCCGTAATGAAGTTATACTCTACCACAGTGCACAACTTTTATACTTGTATCATTTTATCTAACTATATGATTACAGTTTCGGTAATTTACAGACCACGTTGCACTACATTCAGCTGTCAATAAGCTGTGGAATATATTGTACGTTCTATAAGCAGTGTACCTTTACGCTGCTCTGTCCACGTTTCCAACGTCTACTATCAGCTTGTTAGAGCTTGTATGAATTTAACATTATATGCTTGGATATAATGCAGTATATACTGAATAAAAAATCATAAGGTTGAGTTTACTCAATTTTCGTATCATTTCGAACTCATCATTACTTCTTTTTTTGTTATGTTTATTTTTCTTATTGAAGAAAACAAAGTTTCTTGTTCTTTTCTTCCAAACATTTCTTTTTTTAACAGGTATATGACTACAGCTCAGATAGTTCAATTCATCATTGTGATTTTTCATTCCGTCTACACTCTGTCGTTAAGAGACTGTGATTATCCAAAGTTATTCAACTACTGGATTTTATCGTCTGCATTGATTTTCCTATTTCTATTCGCTAAATTCTACTCAAAGGTAAGCATTTTTAAACTGATATACAACATGTATATTATAATTAGTGGTGGAGTTGACTGTACCAGCAGTCACTGAATTCTTGGTCCGAAACTAGCCTCCAGCACAGCTAGTTTCGCATATGCCAGTTTACGCCGTCTCTAGCGTAGACGTGATATTCGGCTGGCTATCGATCAAAGGGCAAGTGTACTGCTCAGCAGTCCACTCCGTGCTCTTTTATGGCTGTGAGTGAGACATGACCATTGAAAGTGGAAGATATGGAAAGTCTGACTAGCTGTCTTTGATCATAGGTGCCTGGATTCTATCTTCCGTGTGAAGTGGTATAATAGGGTGAGCAATATTGAGGTTAGGCGTCAGTTGAGTGATAGCTAAGGAGGGCAAATCAATAGACGAAGCTGTGAAGGTACATCGATTGTAATGGTTAGGACATGTGTTACTCTTGCATGTCTAACGATCGCCTTCCTTCACCAACGGGCAATATTACCTGACAAAGGATGGATCAGGTTGGAAAAGAGCCAGTGGTGGTCAAACCAAAACATGGCCTCATTAGTCAATCAAATACAAAGCAGTTAGTTTGAGCCAAGTAAGAAGGTGTAGACTTCGTGACTAGTTGGGGTCCTCGGGAAGGTAAACACCACTGGGTGGAAACAATTGGCGATATGGCTGAAAATAGTTCTAAATTGCTGGTGCAGATGCATGCACTCCTAGTGACTTATAATTTCCAATAAAACTATTAAGTTCTTCGATATTATTATTCTTTATGCCTCATATCCCTGTTTACTGGCTCTATTTTGCATTTTCTTTTTACTTTCTTCTCTGGCTTTCTGTGCTGAGTGAAGTGTGGCGACTCGAGCTGCTTCACATCTGTGCAAAGCTCTATGTTGAAACTAGTCAGTCAATCAGTCAGTCCGGACTTCTAACAGACGAGCCGAAAGACCCAACTGTTTCACGCCAGACCATCGTTTCATTGTAGTCATCAGAGGTATTGTTGTCCAGATACACCATGTGGATGAATCACAAGGCACTATGTGTTTATCATCACACTGACTGCCCTGAAAAACCTTCCTTTGTTACTTTTATTATTATTCCCTTGGTTTCCAAGTAGAACACAGGGCTTCAATAGCACATCCCCATTCCATTCCCCCTCTCTGCAGTCCTCCTCAGTCGACCTCCGCTGTTGCCCATAAGCTGTCATCTCCTCCTGATATGATCGCCTTCGTGTCACGCCTGAACACCATGCCCAACTCGTTGTTTCTCATATGGGTTCCACTTGAGAGTCTGCGTGGTATGTTAGAATAATAACAAGAAGAGTAAGGTGACTGGCATTCAGATGATAATATTTCAAACATACCAGAAGATATAGAAGGATATATGATGTGTAATCAAGATTTTATAACTTTGTTTTGTAGTCCTAATCAGGTAGGTAGTGCAGGGTTCACCACTACGTCCATATATATATGATTCTAACCGTTTGATGGAGACTGTTTCAGCAAAAGCATAGCAGGCTAGGTTTGTTTTGCCCAATAGATGGCCCGCTAATCACTCTTTAGTCTCAGTCATTTTCCGTATATCTTAGGAAATGCTAACAATAACCCTTATCGATGTTCTTCCAATGTATATACTTTAGTACGAGCATCTAAACTGGTGGATGCAATCTGACGTAACATGTAGAGTTTTGATTGGCTAGAACAACTATTCATTTGATAAAAAAGCATACGACCTTGGAAGTTGGATGTGGTTTTTTGCTTAAGTGCAGCGTTAGTATTGTTGAAGCTTGTAAGCAGTTGAAAATAACATGAGAAATAATCAAAATGAGCAAACATTATCATCCTGTTACACCACATTTGTTGTTCTTGTCTTGTTCAGTTTGATGTCAGTATTAATTATCTTCTATTTATACGTCTCCTGTTTTTGTTACTGTGCTAAGTATTATTAAATCTCCTTTAAGTTGAAATATTTTGATTAAACACTAGGTGGGTAAGCCTCTAGTGTCTCCAGTATGTAGTCGTTCGTTTGGTGCAGACGACCGGCCACATCACTAACATGATTGACAGAATTCAGTCTGCACTAAACAAAGGGTTAGGCGCATAACATCGGTTACTAGCTTGTGTTCAATAATGCATCCATTACAGTCCTACAGGAGGTCAATCACGAGGCCGAATAGCACCTCAGTGGTAATGTCTCTGACTGCAGACTGTACTGATTGACGCAGGTTCGAATCTCAGAAGGAACATTGGATTCCTTCAAGGTTGCAGATTCTCCTTGCTGACTGACTGGGGAGTGCCAAAAAGCACAAAACCTAGGTCAAAGGCGTCCTGATGATTGCCTCTGATCACCATTCAAAAGCTTTTGAAGTAACTAGACGTTTGGCTCTGTTGATCAGATTCTTGGCCACAGTTACTTTGGTGGTAAATGGGTGAGCTGAATGGTAATCTAGGTATCTATCCGAATTTGTCGGCTTTCTGAAAATGTTTATTTTAAATTTGAGGAGGAAGATATTAACGAGGAACTAAAATTAGTTCAATCCACTCTTGAGTCAAATAATTATCCTAAAGCCTTCATAAAAAGATACTTAAAATGTGAAGATAAGGATGAATCAAAACCTGTTGCTAAGAATTGGGTTAGTACAGCGGTGGTTCCTTACCGCAAAGAAACATCCGATGAAATAAAGCGAATCCTTGACGAACATAACATAAGAGTGTACTTTCGTGCATCTAACACCTTACGCTCATTACTGGTGAAGGTTAAGGATAAAATAGAGCAAGAAAACCAGCAGAATTGCGTATACCAGATCAATTGTGGGGATTGTAACGCAGTATATTTAGGGGAAACTTCTAGACAGGTAAATATAAGAATGAAAGAGCATAAACAATGTCTAAAGGTGGTTCCAAAGAGCTCTGCAGACTTGAAGAAGCTAGAAAACAACTCAGCGATTGCGCTACATTCAATAGAAACAGGACACAAAATCGACTTTGATAAGACTAAGGTTTTACTGAAAGGTTTTGGTTCATATCAAGAAAGACTGACTGCAGAAGCCCTACATATATGGGTGGATCCCAACAGTTTAAACAGACGTGAAGGTGTGATGTTAGCCGATGCAGGGCAAATCCTGACTAATAAACAAAATAAAATTTGATATGTATGAACAAGTAGTCACACTTGGTCAAATTCCCGATTGTCTACGTCTCCTTATGGAGTGAATAACAAATCTATAAAAATTAAATTATATTTATAAAAATGTCAATTATTTTGTAACTATCCGGTCAAATCTTGATCACAGCTCATGTGAGAATAACAAATGTTTTATAACTGTTCACCCACACCCACCCACCCACACACATACACACACACCATTGTATCCTGCATATACTGCATATACACATATATATGCTCGCTAGTGACTTGCTACAGGTTGGAGTTTCCTGAGTTCTAGTGAGAAGTCGTGACCAGTGAGGTCCAATTAGATGTCAGGTGTGTGGATGGATGTCCCACCAACGACAATGGTTGGGGTCGCGCTAAATCACGAATTAGTAGAAGTTAGAATTCACGAGCCATTGAATCGGGTCCCAGTGGCTGAATGGTATACGAGCTTGCCTTGTAACCGGAAGGTCCCGGGTTCGAATCCCAGTGGGTGCGTGTAGCCGATGATTCCCAAGCTAGGATGAAACAGCAGCTGTCCAGTACTCCCTGGTTTTCAATGGTTCTCTAACTGATATCAATCCGTGATCAACCCGTAAAAGTAGAAAAATTTTGAAAGTCTGAGGTCATAAAGTTTTTGATCATAGTTCATACGATTTTTGTTTTGTTTAGTATACCTATTGATTCATATTTTAAAATAAGAGATGTACTTTTATATAAACATACAATTCTATTTATTTATTTATTATACATATTGATAACTGTTGCATGACTCATGATTAGACAAATTTTAAAAAACAAGATGTGTCCCTTTATATATAAACTTTGTTATGTTAATTTCGATTAATTTCCCTGAAGAAGTTCGGACCAGATTGCCGAACGAAACGTTGGAATTAATTATTCTATTTTCGCTGAGATTTTACAAATATAACTTTATAAAATTAAACTAATTTGCAAAATCTGAGGTCAAATTTTGATCACAATTCATACAATTTTGTTTATTATGCATGTTGATACATGCTTCATGACTCATATGATTGGACAAAGTTTTTAAAAACAAAAGATGTCCTTTTCATATATAAGCTTCTGTTATGTTAATTTCGATTAATTTCCCTGAAGAAGTTCTGGCCACCAGATTGCCTAACGAAACGCCGGAATTAATTATTCTGTTTTCGCTGAGATTTTACAAATATAATTTTTACATGGAGTTAAGAGGTGATAAAAGAGACGTAGGTCAAGTCAAAATGACATTGGAGATCACCAAACCAAACCCTCGGATCAAAACAAAGTTAACAAAACCAGGTGTAGACTGTTGTATTTGATACGTGTGTAAAATTATGAAGGCAGTGTATGTTTACATAATAAAATTGCTTATAACACATTCGTGTTGATTTGGTCACTTCATGGGGAAGGGGGTTGTTGTAACCAGCTCAAATTCTGTTTTACTCCATCATTCCTATTCAGACAATTTGTATTCCATTTGATATGAAGTGCTTCTGATGATGGGAGATGTTCTTTGTGATTTCCGAAATTTTTCTGGATTACATCAGTATTGTCAAAGTCGATTCCATGCCGCATCAACCAAGGGTAATTACCACATTGTACACACCTGATAAATAAATTTCGAGAAGCACTTCGAACACTTTAAGAGAGCTAGTGGCGGTGAAACCAAAACATGGCACTAGTCAATGAAATCCACAATAGTCTGTCTAAGTCACTCACGTAGGAAAGTGCAGACTTCTCGGTTTGTGTCGTCGGGACGGTAAAAACCAATGGTTGGAAATAGTTGGTGATATGGCTGGCTCAAAATCGTTCGCAATGGCTGGCGCAGATGCATCCACTCCTTGTGACTTATGATTTCCAATGAAACTATATTGTTCTTCGTTATTACTACTCCTTCGTCTCACACCTCTGTTTACTGTCTCTATTATGCATTTCTTCTACTTTCTTCTGTTGCTTTGTTTGCTACATGGAGTGTGGCGACTCGAACTGTCGCACATCGGTGCAAAGTTCTATGTCGAGAATAGACAGACAGACAGGTCATGTTGTCCATGATAGGTGGAGATTGAAGTATATTGTTTTTTGTACACACACATTTTAGGCTGTATGTGATTAATCCCCCAAAGTGCTTCCATAACCTTAGACATTGCAAATTCTCCTTACCGTAAAATCGCCAAATGGATTACAGAGGTCCTTACGCCTGTAAGAGACTCATTATCAAATCATTCTATAAAAAGTTCAATTTATCTTACATAAATGCTAGACACCTTGAACATTAAGGAAAAGATTATGAAACTGTTGATTTCATTTGCGATTACATCACAAGCAGTGGTATAAATTTACCTATTCCTGTAACTTACATCAAAGACATCATCTTAATGTGTACATAAAATATTAGATTCACCTTCCAAGAAAAGGCATACAAACAAATCGATGGTGTTGCGATGGGCAGCCCTCTTGGGCCCCTCTTAGCAGATATATTCATGTTGAAGTCGGAGAAACAAATGCAAGGTATGCTTGAAGAATTTATGCTGTATAAACGTTATGTAGATAATACTCTCATTATTGGTAATAATAGTAAATCTATTGAAAACTTTATTACCCTATTTAATCATATTCATCCAAATATTCTAGTGACCTCCGAACTAGAATCGAACAACAAACTCGGTTTCCTGGATTTTACTATGACCAGGAGAGATAATGGAACGATTCAGCGATCTATTTTTTGTAAACAGACATGGAGTGGACGATATCTTCATTTCACCAGTTTTGTTCCTATCCAGTATAAACGTTCCCCGCAAGTGAAATGTTTGTTCTTAAGAGCCCGAAAAATATGCACATTGATGGATGAGTTTCGACGCGTACATTCAGTTTTATTAGCTAATGGTTATCCAGAAAACCTTATCACTTGTCACAGTAAGGACAGACCATATCTAGAAAGGACAGCCCTGTACCAAAGAAAGCTATCTATCTTCATTAACCTACCATTCAAGGGCGACCAGATTATGCAGTTGACAGCTAGCCCAAAGACATCGGTCAGTTATCAAACACGCATTCTACGCCGCATCTCTTTTTATTATTAGCCGAACATTTTCGATCTTTGTACCTACGATTAAAGGACGAAATTCTGTGGACTCTACTTCACACTGTATCTACAAGTTCACCTGCAGCTGGGGTGACACATGCTATGTAGGCAGAACCAACAGAATGTTCCAATGTGGTCGTCGAAAAGAACATATTCCAAAATGGCTAGTAAATCATATAGAAAATCCCAATGCAATTATTAATCTAAATAGAAATCTAGCATCATCATCCATTGCAAAACACTTAATAATGTCAGGTCACAAAACTAATATTAATGACTGTTTCACAATTATTTCACCACATAACTCTAATTCAAGGTTAGTTATTGAAGGTGATGGAAGCACTCTGGGGGATGATTCACATACATCCCAAACTATCTGTATGCAAACAACAGTAGACTTCAACCTTCGCCTACCATGAACTGACTATTTGACCTTTTCATATATTATTTGTCATTAGTATGTACTTTTGTGTTTTTTTATTCAACTGCGTAATTGTTATGATCTTTATTATTGTTAACCATGTTAGTTGTATAAAACGGTTGTAAAGAAACTACGAAATGACGATATCATCTCTCGCGAAATTTGTCTTCTTAATGCCTTATACAAATTTATCAAAGGAATTAAATGTTTTAATTTTTAATGATAACCATTAATTATTTATTATTTTTAATCATATTTCTTCTAGACATACAAGAAGCCAATCCATTCAACGAGTCAAGACACGCTTGAAAGCAAATACAATCATAAAATTCACTCGTTGAAATCTGATTAACTGAAATTTTTGAGATAAATAATCCTTCAAATTGTGTTATTCCTTCAACTTCTTCTTCTTCTTCTGTTTGTATACGAGTGTATACATCAAAGTTTTATTTAGAAGAGGCATCTCATTTACTGTGTAATAAAAAATGGATGAAATAAACCGAAAAGGAAACGACACAACCACAACAACAACAACTACTACTACAACGAGTTTCTGCTGCATTGTCTAGTTATCTTTCTTCCACTCTCTCTCTCTCTCTCACTGTCTTTCGTCATTCCTTTGTGCTTTATCTTCACATTCTACTGCATTTTCATTGCTACTGTCTTCTTCTTCGTCTCCTCATCCTTCTGCCCCACCGGTTTCGTGTTCATCTTGCTTTACTGCACCATATAATCATCATCTTTATGTATCCTTGTCATCAACTCAATGTATTATCTATGTGTATGCAACAGTTTAATGCCATTCTTGTCCATTAAAAGAAATATGCTTACTACCTATTTGGTTAATTATTAATACTATCATTATTATTGTTATATTTTGTGTGTATTGATATAAATTATTCTATTGAATGAATTTGAACTGAATAAAAATGCCCATTAAAATTTTCAAAAGAATGGATACTGAACAAAGAGTACTCTTTTCGGTAACCCCTTCATCATCAGGCTCTACAGTTATATATACATTATAGTGAATGAATGAATTAGTGTTATGAGCAACATTAATGTTGCTGTTTAAATAACATCGAATCAATAGTATTGATAGATTACAGCTGAATCGCATTAACATAAAATAAGCTGGATGTCAGAAGAATTAGGAAAGATAATATTACAAATTTATGAGTTTATGGTTTCTACTGAAGACCAGAGCAATAGTAAGAGCTGGACTTGCTTCTTTTGGATACAGAGCGCTGGTTGTTTGAGGTGAATCGCAATAGCCTCTGCTGTTTGGAGCCTGCGGTGCTTCGATGATTTGTCAATTTATTAGGTACCCGGTAGATGATAGAGAAGGATTCATCTACGCTGGCTGGCTTTGTGGCCTGTTTGCACCAGATGTTCCAATATCAAGCTGTTAATAGTTTTCACTACACCTTTACTTAGTCATGCTGTTGTTCTCGAGTGAGCACGAAAACTCAAGTTCGTAGAGCAACGGCCAATACAACTCGCTTCAACACAAGCGCAGTTGAATTGGTAAATACAATTAGAAGTGGCTACTCTAGGTACTTCATCTTTCAGTCGAGTTAGCACCATCGGTCGTGTAGAGAATAAGACGTGTAGTTCGCCAGCATTAAAAGTTCTTTGAATCGATTTTCTTAATTTCTTCGCAATTATCTCGCTTGGTATATCACCCATGAATTGTAGTCGTATATAGAGAGGCTTCTTTTTTTACAGATATTAGGTAGTCCTTTTCCGCTTTCTTTGTCATGTGTTTTTTGATAAACTTTTCGGGATAGCTATTTTCGATCAAAGTATCATATACAATGCCTGATTCATTTTCAATTACTTCTTCTGAGCATATAGCTCTAACTCTGTGGCTGAGGGTCTTCACTAAATTTCTTTTATACCTGATAGTAACGAATTAATTTCTCAGTGGGTGATGACGTTCCCACCGAAGCTCGAACCCAGTACCCATAGTTTCAAACGCCAAAGCACTTCGGTCCAAACAATCGACGGGAAAATCGAAAATTCAATTCAATAATTAATATGACCCATTGCACAAGAGGTGGCTCTCGTGGCCCAAGTGGTCTAGTGGATAACGCTTTGGCGTTTGAAACTATGGGTACTGGGTTCGAGCTTCGGTGGGAACGTCATCACTCACTGAGAAATGCAGGTACATCCAGATGACGAGTCCCAAATAGGACGAAATGCGCATCCTGGATTCTACTGCTAGCCACCATCCACCAGTTGTATACTAATTAAATGACCAGACATCGTCGAAGCATCTGCACAAGAAGCCGACATGTCAACCTGAGACCGAGCACTTCGGTCCAAACAATCGACGGGAAAATCAAAAAAAATTCAATTCAATAACACGAATTAATTTCGTTGATTACATGAGCATACAGTTGACATCTTGTTTGAAATCAATCACTGATTACTAGACGATCCAACTGGCTGATGAGAATAGTCTGTCTGCATGCGTTCGCCTTGTAACCGACAGCTGCTAGGTTCAAACCCCGGTAAGCACATGCTATTAGAGACTCCGAAAGTAGGGCGAAACACTTGTGGAATACTCCTCCCCGGTTATCCAATGGTTCTGTTGTAACAGTAGAACGCGAGATGAGGAAGCCAAGGTGTATTTTTGAATGTGATCAAACCGTTATTCATGTATATACAGTTTTATATTCCTTAACCAATCATTAAGCGTGTGATTTTGACGTACACACTAAACGACATGAAATAGAATGGTCCAATAGAATTTCGTATTCTTTATCAACGAAATCATCTTCAGAGGCTGCACAGTCGTGTTTATACTTACAAAAATATATAGTGGTCTATTATTGAGTAATAGGGGGTGACATAATTGATATAATTAATCATAAATGGTGTTAGAAGTGAAAATTAAAAGTTGTAAATTATGTGGTATTTAACGGGACAAAGATAGAAATTTGATAAGGTTAAAATTGCTCTTGAGTGAGAATAAAGGTAGTAGAGTGTCAATCTACCAAGTGTAAAGAAGGTGTGAAATGTACAAAAGGAGTATATGAGAGTGATAAGAGTGAATGAATTATTACAGCAAAAGCAATTAAAAGTAAAATTAAAAACACAAAAAGATCAAATTTTTTTTACAGGGAACGATTAGTGAAGAGGTTAAGACCAAGGTAGAATAAGAGGCTGGACAAACTTTTTGTGTATACAGAGTTCAGGGTTGTATTGATGAATTGTCAGCGCCTCCACCATACACAAAAGCCGAAACCTGACGCCTTTTGTACCATTTGGCTTCACTTTGTAGATGATGTTGAAAGACGACTCTGGTGGAGCTACGTGGCCTGAGTTCACCAAATGCTCGAGAATTGAGCTAGTGGTTGTCTTGCATTGTCTCTTTGCTAATCATGCCGGATAATGTTCAGAGATGCGTTTGGAAAGCGTGCGCTTTGTGCAGGCGGCCAATATAACTAGCTTCACACGAGCAGGTGAATTTATAAACACACAATGAGGTGGCCCAAAGAGTCAGTTTATCCTTCACACATCCGTTGATCATTTTTCGGCTGTAGAAATTGATACGTAGCTCAGCCATAAAGAAGGCTTTCCTCAGTGATCTGCATAAGCGATTCTTTAGGATCTCAGCTGCGGTATCACCTTTAAGTTCAACGTTCATAAATAGCAGTTTATTTTCGGCACCGTCTGGATTCTTTCAGGCTTTTCCCTTAACTTCATGTTTTTTCTCTCGATAAATCTCGGAGGATATCCATTTTCAATGAGTCGCCTCAGTTCCCCATCCATTGTATCTCTGTCTGTCTGGATTCAACATAGAACTTCGCACCGAAGTGCACCAGTTCGAGTTGCCACGTTCCAAATAGCACACAGAGGTAGACAAGATGAGTGAAGAGAATCAATAGAGTTTGACAAGTATAAGAGTGAAACAGAATGGGTAATGGTAGAAAGGAATATGAAAGATTACAGAGACTGAATACATCTGCGCTGGCCATTGACAACGATTTTGAGCCATGTCACCTATTGTCTCCAGCCATTGATTCCTAGAGTCCCGAGGGCCCCAACCCGGAAGTCTGCATCTCCCTACCTGACTCAGTTTAACTGTCAAGGATTTCATGGATTGATGCCATGTTTTTGTTTGGCCACCACTGGCTCTTTTCCAACCTGAACCTATATCAGCTAGTAATGCCCGTCGGGGGAGGCGGTGGTTAGGCATGCGCACCACGTGACCTAGCCATCTTAGTCTATGTAACTTTATAGCCTCGTCGATTGATTTTCCCTCTTTGCCCAACACTCTACGCCTAACGTCAACATTACTTACCTTGTAAACCACCTAACGTGAGACAGAGATCGCAGACATCTATGATCGAAAGCAGTCAACCTTTTCATGTCTTCAACGCGTATTGGCCATGTTTCAGAGCCATAGAGAAGGACGGAGCGAACTGATGAGCAGTACACACGTCCCTTGGTTGATAACCGGATGTCACGCCTACGCCAGAGATGGTGTAAGTCAGCGAAAGCAGCTCGAGCTTTTCGGATCCGTGCTGAGATTTCATCGCCAATCAGTCCGTTGGTGCTAATACAACTTCCCAAATAGGTGAAGTGGTCAACATGTTCTATCACTTCACTCCCTATCACTAAGTTAGGGTTGACGTGTCCAGTCCTGTAGCAGCATCTTACATTTTGCAGGGGCGAATCGCATGCCAAACATACGAAGATTGCTGCTCAAGGTGTTCAGAAGACTCTGCATTTTGTCAGCATCCTCCCCTAACAGGACTATGTCATCTGCATATTCTAAGTCCATAAAATATTCCCTGGTAACAAGTCGATTCCTAAGTCATTACGTTCAGTTAAGGATACTTCCATCAGCATATCTATGATGAAGTTAAACAGAAATGGGGAAAGTGGACATCCCTGTCGGACACCACTGGTTGTTACCAATTCAGATGACAATTCCCCATAAGCCCTTACACGACTACGTGAGTTTGAATAGAGTGCCTTGATTAGTGCAATGTACTTTCTTGGCACTCCCTTCACAGTCAGACATTGCCATAGTACCTTTCGATCCACGGAGTCGAAGGCCGCCTTCAAGTCAAGAAATATGACAATTGTTGGACGCCGAAAAGTGTGTCTATGTTCTAGAATCTGTCGAAGAGTGAAGATATGATCTATGCACCCTCTACCTGGTCTAAAGCCTGCTTGATTTTCCCTTGTCTGTTCCTCCCGAGTTCTGCTTAGTCTATGCATGATTACTGAGCCTAGGATTTTAGAGACTATGTTCGTTAGGCTGATCCCCCTATGATTATCACACGAGGACTTGTTTCCCTTCTTGAATATCGGTATAATAAGTGACTTACCCCAGTCTGATGGAACTGTCTCTGATTCCCAGACTTTGCCTAGTACCTCAGTTAATCTACAAACTAGTATGTCACCCCCATATTTAAACACCTCCGGAATAATTCCGTCGGGTCCTGCCGCTTTGCCTCGTTTCAAATTACTGATAGCTTTTGTGACCTCACTACAGACGGCGGACCAGTGTCTATATCCCATTCGGGTGTGTGGATGGGGGAGGTTCAGTGTGGCTGTAGGCAAGTTAAATTGTTCCTCAAAGTGTTCTTTCCAGCGTTCAAGGCGTCTATCCTGAGAGCTAATTAAGGAGCCATTTTTCTCAGAAATAGTCTCACTTATGATTTGCCTTCTCCCACCCGTTTCTGATGAGTCTAAAGAGTTGCCTAGTGTTGCCTATCGCCGATGCTTTTTCCATCTCTTTCGCCTTTGTCACCCACCACTGTTCACGGTCCTTGCGGAGACTTTTAGTAAGTTTCCTTTTGTGCAGCTTTCGCTCCTCATTGAATTCGGAGCTCGCCGGAATAAGTCTTCTAGCATCTATCAGTTCGGATGAGGCAGTCGAAATCCAGTGGTTTTTACTCACCTTTGGATTTGCCTTATTCACAGCTTTTACAGCTGTATCTATAGCTGACTGAATATTCTTCCAGGCTTCTCCAGGGTGAGCACAGCTGTCGAATTCAGATATGCGTTTAGCTAGTTCTTCCTCAAATAGGGATTTAGTTTCCTGATCGAGCTGGGGACGTGATGGTTT